TGCAATGAGAAATAATTATATCATGGAGAACGGGGTATCCATGCCCTCAAGCATTTATCATTTGTGTTACAAAAGATCCAATTACACTCTTTCCCTAATTAAAAAATGTACAATTAAGCTATTATGACCATAGGTATCCTGTTTTGCTATCCAATGGTAGGTATTATTCATTCTTTCTAACTATTTTTATACCCATTAACCATTCCCACATCACCCCCTAGTTGCTACTACCTTCCCAGCTTCTGTTAACCATTATTCTACTTTCTATGCATGTGAGTTCAAATGTTTTGATTTTTAGATTCCATAAAAAAGAGAGAACATGTGATGTTTGCCTTTCTGGGCCTGGCTTATTACACTTAATACAACGATCTCCAGTTCCATCCCTGTTATTGCAAATGACAGACTCTTATTCTATTTTATGGCTGAATAGTACTTCATCGTGTATATTTACCACATTTTTTTATGCGTTCATCTGTTGATGGATACTTCGATTGCTTCCAAATCTTAGCTAAATAGTGCTGCAGCAAACATAGGACTGCAGATATTTCTCTGATGTACTGATTCTCCTTATTTTGGATATCTATCCAGCAGTGAAATTGCTGGATCATATGGTAGCCCTGTTTTTAGTTGTTTTGAGGAACCTCCAAATTGCTCTCCATAGTGGCTGTACTAATTTACATTCCCAGCAGCAGTGCATGAAGATTCCCTTCTTTCCACATCCTTGCCAGCATTTGTTATTGTCTGTCTTTTAGATATGAGCCATTTTATCTGGGATGGGATAATATATCATTGTAGTTTTGATTTGCATTTCTCTGATGATTGATGATTTTGAGCACCTTTTTATATGACTTTCTGCCATTTGTATGTCTTCTTTTGAGAAACGTCTGTTTAAATCTTTTACCCATCTCTTGACCAGATGATTACATTTTTTCCTGTAGAGTTGTTTGAGCTCTTCCTATATGCTGGTTGTTAACCCCTTGTCAGATGGGGAGTTTGCAAATATTTTCTCCCACTCTGTGTGTTGCCTCTACACTTTGCTGATTGTACCTTTTGCGGTGCAGAATCTTCTTAACTTGATATGATCCCGTTTGTCCATTTTCGCTTTGGTTGCCTGTGCTTATGGGGTATTGCTCAACAAATTTTTACCCAGACAAATGTCCTGGAGATTTTCCCCGAAGTTTTCTTGTAGTAGTTTCACAGTTTGAGGTCTTAGATTTAAGTCTTTAATCCATTTCTATTTGATTTGTGTGTGTGGTGAGAAATAGGGGTCTTTGCATATGGATATCCAGTTTTCCCAGCACTGTTTAATAAACAGACTGTCTTTTCCCCAGTGTATGTTCTTGACATTTTGTTGAAAGTGAGTTCACTGTAGACGTGTGGATTTATTTATGGGTTCTCTGTTTTGTTCCATTGGTCTAGGTGTCTGCTTTTATGCCAGTAACATGCTGTTTGGTTACTACAGATCTGAAGTATAGTTTGAAGTTAGGTAATGTGATTTATCCATTTTTGTTCTTTTTGCTTAGGATCGCATTGGATATTTTAGGTGTTTTGATTCCTATTGGTCATATTTTTAAATCATAAACCTGACTAGTCTGTTATCTATTATTTTCTTTCATTGGGTTTTATGTTGCATGATGGAAGTTGTTATTTTTAGGGTTTAGGATATTTGTTACCCTTTCTGGATTTTATTTAAATTTCTGAATTAAACTTTAGATTATTATCTTTATCTAAAAATCACACACACACAAATACACACACAGGTAGACAGATATATTTTTTATTATTGGGCATAAAATACTTTAATATGAACCTCTGCATCTGATATGAGCTGAGTCCTGCATACCTAGATAATAAGGGAAGAAACAATAATGTACAAATTTTCTTAAACAAACTTACAGTTCAGAAATGACTGTCAAATTACATCTTACTTTGCATGGTGGTGAACATGTTTTTTCTAAAAAATTATACTATCAAAGGAAATGGACAAATTTTATCTTCCAGCCCTCGTCCTACCTTCCCAGATCCCCTCTTCCCCCTTCCAGGTCCTTCTGCTTCACAGGCGTCTGATGAGTACAGGGTGTTTTTTCCTTTCCACGATGTTCACACTAACTTGTTGAGCCACAGCACCATTTCTATTTCTGATTATGAGGTGCATGTTTTCTTAATTTGTTATTTTTGACACTTGGATAAATTCCATAAAATAATGGTAAAATTATGATTTTTATCCTTGAAATCTGCAGTTCCACTGGAGGTATTCCTTACCACTGATGTCTTCTTCATGCAAGGAAGAGGCAGCCTCTCAGCTTGGCAGTACTGCTCTGTGTGTTAGAACCCCCATCCCTGGTCCCCCACTGCAGCTACTGAAGGTAGTTCTCAGAACTGACTCAGTGAGAGACCCTGTACCTGGAGGCAGCTAGAGAACCTCCCCAGACACAGCGCTGTGGATTACCATTGGGCTCTCTGTTGGAGGAAGGAGGGCCTGCTGCTCACCTACAAAGCAATAGCAATCCTTTCACTGGGGAGGGAATAAAATGCTCAAAAGAATGGGGTTAGATTTGCCATAAAGCAGATCATGTGGCAGGAGGGAGAACACACTCATTTCATTCTTCAGCCTCAGGCTTTCCAGAAAAAAATGTGGGGTTGAGGTCCCTAGGGGTGAAGCACTTCATCTTCTGGGGTCCGTGATTGCTTATTAGGCACCATCCTTGGGAACAAAGCTGACCTCCTCATTACATGGACTCAGCCAGATACTGTATCTTATCATCACTGTACACTGGTTATGAGTAGTGACATATTCACAGTGATTTAAACCCAGGGGTAAGTGCAACTTTAAACACCTCTTTATGCGTGAAGAGGGCCTCAGCTCTTAGAACTGAGGAGGAGTGGATGTCCTCCCTGCCACCATTCTCCTGTCCGGTGGATTCGTTCCAGGTGCCTATCATCTAGACTCTCTCAGGTATGTCCATGGCTCGTAGTGGGTGCTGCTTCCAAGTTCTGGTCGCTGTCCCTCCTCTAGTTCCTGTCTAGAGTAATAAAAAGAGGGAGCATTCTGCTCCAAAATACAAAACCCAACCAGTACACTCAGAACGCCCCATTGGCAGGAGAGACGGTCTTCTTATTCAAGAGCACTAACAGACATGTCCTTATGCATTAACTTCAAGAGGAGATCCAATAGCCTTCCTCTTTTATCATTAAATGAGAATTATCTTCTTATATTATCACAGAATGAAATTCTTCCTCCTGGACCTACTCGACAAAGAAACCTGAGTTCGTGAATCCAGTGAAACCATTGTTTTACAATTTCTCCAGAAGATTTTTAGGAACATCCATGTTGGGAAGCAACACAGTTTTGTAATTATATATTGTGAATATATATCGTGAACATTTGTGTTAAATATACAGTTATCAGAGCAGTTTATGACTCAATTATTCGACATCTCGCATATCAAAAATCCATATGTAATTATCTGATATTAGATCAGGTACTAAAAACGTGTAACTTGACTTATCACAACAATAGCCAGTAAGTCGTTAAAATACAGGCATAATTTGATCTAGAAGTATATATGATGGGTAGGTGTATTATGCAATATTCTGTTCCCCAGAACAATCTCAAATGCGTAGACTTGGCTTCTGGATCCTCCTGCGTCCTACTGAGCGCTGACTCTCCGGAGCGCGTGACCTAACGGTGCGGGACTGAGGAAGACTACACACACAAGCCATGCCCTATGGCATCCAGCACTAACCTGGGCAGTGAATCGAAACAATGTGTGATATTTCTGTATGATATATTTTATATTACCCTTTATCCTCTAACGAAGTGATTATTATAAAAACTGCCTATGTTTTGAGGAACACAAAATTTTGAAGAGAAAGGAATCAAACATAAAAGGATAAATCATTGTGTTATACATGTATGATCTATAATGATTATCATAGTATTAACTGTTCACATTTCTATTATATAGCTTTGTAAAAAGAAATAACATATTTTATAACAAAAACTCCTGACGTGTCTAGTGAAATGTACACGTGAAAGCCCACCTAAAGGCAATAACAGAATTTGAGGAGACTAAAATGTGTGATTTGAGAGACAGTAAGAGTAATTTAGTAAACATTCCCATCTGCTCTGAAACTAATCAATGCGAAGGAGACCTACCACATATCTCAGGACTTTCAACACACACACTGACAAACGGACGATAGACCACATGGAGAACACAATAGAAGGGGGAGGCACAAGCATTCTGGGAGGAGATAATAGAAAAGAAGAGGAACAGGAATAAGTAGCCCAGAAAGGACACACGACATATACACAGCACTGCACAGACTGGTTTGTATTTGGTGAATTCCTCAAAATTCAGCATCCATAAAAGCAGGAGATCCTAAGGTAAAATATGAATTACACCAATCATAAATCAACACAACAAATGAATCAACACAAATTTGAAATTGAACTTGGGACACCTTCACCTATTTTTGTTTCAAAAAATATTGCATTTATAAACATACCCTAAACTATTTCTGAGTAATTGGAGTTTATTTGCTTCCACAATAGCGAAACACAAACATAATAAGTGTGTTTTAAAGCATATTATCGAAAGTGGGGGTCTGGCCCTGGACACGCAGAAGGCACTTGGGAGCCTGTTCCTGACGGGCTGGTGTTGGAGCTGAGACCAGCCACTTCCCCTGGTCTTGGTGCTCTCTGTTCAGGGCTCAAGCTGTGACTTCTCCTCACCTCCTTGAACCGCTCTCAGCTACTCATACTTATCCTGACGTCAGGCAGAAGAGTCTGATCCAGGCTTAGGGTGGATCAGAAAGGCTTGGGCGGTTCTATTGCAGAGAGCTCCTCCCCACCTCAGAGTATAAATGAGAGAAAAGAGAGAGTTGGGAAAAGCTTTCACTTCAACTGTGGGAGGCAAAAAGGCAGGAACTCAGCGACAATCTCAAAGAATGCCCGCGTCCTCTCCTCGCTCCCTGCCTTTCATTCCACTGCCCAGGTGACTGGACATGGGCCCAACGGAAGGGGCCCTGGAAAGCCCCTGGAGAAGCTTCCCCTCTCATTGACAACCAGAATCACCCATGTCGTGTCGTTCCCCCCTTTTACTGGCCTTGGGCCGCATCTGCGGTGACCAGCACCCTCAGTCCATGGGGGCTCCTGGGCCAGCACACCATTCCCCGCACTGAAGGTCAGCCCCTTTGGTGTGGGTATAGTCCGCTGGTTCCCACGCACTCCAAGGAATAGCCCCCAAAACTCCCCTCATCTATGAAAACAGTTGGGCTGAGCCCTTGTGGGTCCCTGACAATCTCTGGGCCTGTCAAGTCAGTCTTGGCACTCCATCTTCCCTGACCATCACTGTGCTATACCCTGAGATGAGGGTTGATTATACCACCAGTTCTACAGAAACAGCCTGAGTGCTTTACATGCCCCGGGTTTGAAGAAAGTGAGACGAAACAAACACGCGGTGTGGCCAGCCAGCAGCCTCCCCAGCACCCCTACTCTGCAAGGCCAAGTCAAATTGTGTTCTTTCACTCAGGTGTCCGAAACTGGGCCTGAAGTGAGAACTTCTTCAGGGTAATTTTTCTATGGGGAAGCGTCCTCACCCTCTCCATATCCTGCCCCCATTTCCACTCTCTTGCACAATTACCGTGCCGCTCTTTCTTCAGAGGTAGCAGCTGTCCTGAACGACCAGCAGGACAGATCCCTGGTCGGAGTACATATGGGCGAGTCAGTCCAGCCGGGGCCCACAGCAACACACCACAGACTGAGTAAATCTCGCCAACAGAATTCATTTGTCTCACTGTTTGGAGTGTGAAGGACCAGATGAAGGTGCCCACCCATTTGGTTTTCTCTTTGCCCTCTTTCCTTTGCTTCCAGTGGCTCCTTTTCACTGGTGTCCTCACACCCACCCAGGCTGCGTGTGGTTTTTGTACAACAAATTTCTGATGAAGTCATTAGTCCTTTTGATTAGAGACTCATTCTTATGACCTCATTGATTCCTAACTATCTTAGTCCCAGATCTTCCAATACAGACAAATTGGTAATTTAGTTATAACATAAAAAATTGGGGAGCTGGGCACCGTGGCTCATGCCTGTAATCCATTAGGGGGCCAGGAGGCTCAGTGACTCATGCCTGTAATTCCAGCACTTGGGAGGCTGAGTGGCGAATCATGAGGTCAGGAGATCAAGACCGTCATGGCTAACATGGTGAAAACCCTGTCTCTCCTAAAAATACAAAAAAATTAGCTGGGCATGGTGGCACATGCCTGTAGTCCCAGCCACTTGGAAGCTGCACCTGGTACATGCCTGTAGTCCCAGCCACTTGGGAGGCTGAGGCAGGAGAATCGCTGGAACCCGGGAGGCAGAGGTTGCAGTGAGATAACATCACCCCACTGCACTCCAGCGTGGGTGACAGAGCAAGACTCCATCTTAAAAAAAAAAGGGGGCTGGACACAATATAATTTGTAACAAAGGATCAGGGGTCCAGGAACCCAGAGTCCATCTGTGTTTGACACAGGAGAGGTAATGCTGCAGAGGCCACCTGGTCACTCCATTCCTCCGAGCTCCTACTATGTGCCAGATTCTGGATGTGTTCTTGGTGCTCAGGGTACCATGTGGATAAGACAGGAAGGTCTCTGTCCTCCAGCAACTGATGATATTTAGGAGAAAACAGAGCGCATCAGTAAACATATCCACAAGAATATGATACGTTTTAGGAAAATGAAGAGAGGTGAGTTTTGGTGAGGTGGGGCGAGCAGACTTAGAGGGGTTGATGACAAAGATACAGAGACCGATTAAGGTTGTAAAATTCACCCACTGCACATGAAGTGAACTAAGAGGAGGTGAGAGTCCAGGCAGGGCCAGATGAGGCTCTGGTTTAGACACAAACATTAGACTGTGGAGTCCTGGACATGGGTAGAACACACAGGTGGTGAAAGGTCACGTCCGCATGGTTCAGAAGTGGGAGGTGCTGAGGGATGGACTGTCAGGAGACAGAGACCACAGCTGGGCTCTCAGGACCTGTGACGGGTGTAGGTGAGCTGCAGCTAAGTGAGAAAACATTAAGGACCCTGTGTAGTTGATACAAGATTATTGACATCTTAAGTTTTCAATAAATACAATCAGCTCTGACAATACAGACAAATTGGTAATTCAGTTATAACATAAAAATTTGGGATGAACAAACAGAATTACCTTGTTGAATGTTTCATTCAAATGATATGTTAGGGAGGAGACCAACCGGATGAAAAAGCTTTGGGAATGACCATTTAACAGCACAGGATCTAAAATGCAGAAGAAAAGGGCCTTTGATGCAAACTTAGAGTGGTGATAAGCTGGCTGATATCGTGCAGGTTAATAAAACCAGAAACTTCATCTGCCCCTCCGACAGAAATCTACACACGAACACAATTTCACTATATGAAGCTTCCAGAGGATGATGTGCAGACTGTAGATGAGCTTCCTCTTACACCTTCCACCTGGTCATTTCTGTGGGAGGACTTATTTTCCCTCTTTCAGTTTTCTCATGTGCTGCTCATGTCACACGCTCTAATTCAGGGCTCCAGCCCACCTTTCCTGCCAACACCAATGCTCTCTGTAGATGAAAACTCACCAGTCAGCAGCCTCCTTGGTCTGACAGAAGTCATCTTCCTGGGTTTCTAGGACTCTGGTCCTGCCAAGATCCTCCTTTCTCAATCCTAACGCCGTGGTCCCTGGCAGCCTCTTCACCTGGACCTCATCGCTCATCTCTGTGTTCCTCCAGCTATACCCACGTCAGGAACTGCTTCATCTGCACTATAAATAAAGAATTATCCTCTCCACTCTTAAATTTTTGCTCTGATTATCTCCTCGTCTCTGAGCTCAGGCACCCCATCCCTCTCAGATCCCTGAGTGTGGCAGGGCCCCCTCTCCAGTCTCTGTACCGCCTCCAATGGTGAAGGGGAGGCAGGGAGGTCCCTGCACATATCACATCCTCATCTTTCCCCTCAGGGTCAGCTCCCTGAGGTAGGGACAAAACTGTTCCCTTCAGATTCACATATCCACTGTCAAAAAGCACCCAGCACATGGTAGGCACTCAATAAACCTTTACCAAATGCAGACCTGCCTCTCAGCACACTGGACACATTGCAGTGAGCTCAGGATGGGGCTAAACTGGGAGTGTCAGCTGTGAACCTGCTCTTCTCTCTGTCCTCAGCCTGAGAGCTGAGGGGGCACCCATCAGGGAGAGCACCCAGGGGCAGGGAGGGGACACAGGCAGCCTCATCCTCTGTGTGAGACACTGCTGAGACTATGGGATCCCTGTTCATTCAGGTGGGAAGAAAAGGGAAACAGAATTCAGTAGGAACCTCTATGCATCCACACAGAGGAGGCAATGACAAGAAAACACAGGATGCAAGCACAGTGGTAATAATGCATTTCTACCTAATATTACATAAAACTCGATATTACCTGTATTCTGTAACAATAACTATTTACAAAACTGACTGTAAGTGATGCTTTTAAAAAAACACAGCTTTCAAAGAAAAGAAACCTCAAACAATGACACCCCTGAATCGCAAACCTAAGATGGGGCACACATTTATTTTCAGTTCCATATATGGCCTGGATTTATTTACAAGACAATATTGTGTGTCACTATTCCATTTTACATGGTATATTTAAAATCTTACAGTACTGCAACTGCCTAGTAATCTACTCATCAATATAAATATCAGTGTGACAATCCTGCTGTCCTTCTCCACCCCTGCATAACCCCCAGCAAAAATTCATTATGAATTCACAGAATATAATATCAGAACTGTTGTAGCCACATACACAGTTTGTTTCATTTTATGTTTTGATAGAGAAAATAATCTTTTTTGTTTAAGCTTGATTTTTAAAAATATATTGCATACTAAATGTCATTACAAATCAGAGATTAATAATGTCTCTTATGTTTATACTACTCCCACAGCACTCATTACTGAATGTAAAGCATATTTATATTTTCTTTCTTCTTCCTTTCTTTTTTCTTTTTCTTTTCTTTTTTTTTTTTTGAGACAGGGACCCACGCTATCACCCAGGCTGGAGTGCAATGGCACAATCTCTGCTCATTGTAACCTCTACCTCCCAAGTTTAATTGATTCTCCTGCCTCAGCATCCTGAGTAACTGGCATTACAGGCACCTGCCACCTTGCCCAGCTAATTTTTGTATTTTTAGTAGAGATGGGGTTTCACCATGTTGGCCAGGCTGGTCTCGAACTCCTGACCTCAAGTGATCTGCCTGCCTCAGCCTCCCAAAGTGCTGGGATTACAGGCCTGAGCCACCTGCCTGGCTCCATATTTATATTTTCTAAACATCCTACTTGGAGTGGCTGATCCTACCAGCTACCATGTTTCCACCTCACCTGGGATCAAACACTGATGGACACAACTGGTAATTTTAACTCTTGCAGTCTTCAAATATTGAGCAAATTTGCCATTTTTGCTATTCAATAAAAATGCTGGAAAGTTATGTGCCATGCCACTGACTCTGTTCAGTGCTTGGAGGACAGATTCCTAGGAGTGAGTAGTTGACCACGGCATCTGAATAGCTATTACCCCAAGTCTGTGGAAATTAGAGAACACAATTTTACCGGAATAGCCCTGTAGAAATGCCCCCCAGAGATTCTCCCCATACCCTCACCACCCTTAGAGAAGAGAGCTCCTGTTCTCCTCAGCGCTGCAGGGTCCACAGAGGAAGAAGAGCTCTGGCCAGCAGGGAGGAGCCACCAGAAGACACCAGAAGAAAGGACCTGGTGTCTCCCATGGCCGGAGAAGTGAGTCCACGGGAACCAATTGCTGCTCTGGACTTGACTGGATCTAAGAGGACTTGGTACAGAGTCACCACCTCAGTCCTCACCTACGAACACCCAAAGAGCCCCGGACAGATTCACCCTTAAGAAGACCAGTAAAGCATGAACTGCCCTGAGATAATGAGAAGGTCACAAAAAGGGCCTGCCTGGCCTGGTGCTGAGCCTGGGGGTGGTGATCAGAGCAGGGGGAATGCACAGCTGGCTCTGGGCGCCTCTGGTCATCATGTCACAGGAGAGTGTGTCTGGATCTGGACACCTGGGGACATGAAGGGCTGGTTACCGAGTGATCTAGGAGTGATCAGAGCTGTGATCAGCCAACTGCCTGAATGGTGCCCTCTGCTCAGCGATCACAGCAGCGAGCTCTCATGCCCAGGAACACACAGTTCCACCCCTGCCCGTCTCCCTGATATCCACAAGAGGGGCCTGATCCAAGGCCAGCGTGGCATCAGAAGGCTGGGGACTCTAATTTGCATGGATGGACCCTCATTGTCAGAGAATGAAGAGGGGAAGGGAGAGATTTGGGGAAGCTCTGCCTCAGTTGTGAGCACAGAAGGAAGGCAGGACTCAGGACAATCTCCAGCATGGCCTGGTTTCCTCTGCTCCTCACCCTCCTTGCACACTGCACAGGCGACAAGATACAAGGCCATGACTAAAGCCCTAGGAAGCCCATGGGGTCTGCTCTCTCCTTTTGTCTCTCGACCCAGAATCACCATGCCTGTGTCCCACTTCCAGGATCCTGAGCTCAGTCTGTGCTGACTCAGCCACCCTCAGTGTCTTGGGCCACACGGCCGAGGCTCACTATCTCCTGCACTGGAAGCAGCTCCTACATTGGCACTGGCTATAATGTAAACTGTTGGCAGTGGCTCCCAGGAACTGACCCCAAACTCCTCAGGCGTAGTGATAAGAACTGGGCCTCCTGGGCATCTGGCCAATTCTCTGGCTCCAAGTCCGGCAACTCAGCCTCCCTGGCCACCACTGGCCTCTGGACTGAGGACGAGACCGAGTATCACTGCCAGTTCCACGGCAGCAGCGTGAGTGCTTGTACAGTGCTCCAGGCTTGCAGGGAAGTGAGAGAAGAACCCCCTTCCTCCTTTCCCAGGAGGGTGAGTGCCTAGCAGCTACTGCACAGGCCTGGCCTGTGGCTTCTGCTGCTGTTGCTTCCCCAGTGGGCCCAGGGGCATCCAGGGCCCCACCTGGGGAGCTCCCCTCTGTTCCTCAGAGCACCCGACAGCAGCCCCTTTCTAGGAAAAGGGCCTCCCAGAAACAGAATGTCCTGTACCCTGCAAACTTGGGACAGCAGGAGTCTCTGCTCTAAAGTCAGGGGCTGGATGTGACAAATCCAGCGTGAATCCGTCAGATTAGATCTGGATGGGAACCCGCCTCCTCCATCATCCTTTCGCTT